TCTCTCTCTCTCTCTCTCTCTCTCTCTCTCACACACACACACACACACACTCTCTGTCTCTCCCCCTGCGGGATCCTGCTCACGGCCTTGATGGTTTCAATGACTGTTGTCTGTGTCCAATTGATGGTTTAATGACTATATCTGTGTGTGTGTGTCCTAATCATGGTTGTAATGACATTGGTTCCTGGGTTGCCTACCTCTTTCGGCCGGTCATAGCAGACTCCACACTTGAGTATAGCTTTGTACTCCTTGATCTCATCTTGAAGCTTCTCGACAGCTGCCTCTTCATTCTCCGAACTCATCTGTGCAACCTTACTATTGAAAGCCTCGAGCTCTTCCTCCAGCTTCTTCTTCTCAAGCCTGGTTTAACTTAGGAAATGAATCGAGTCTTAAAATTCAGGCACATTGTTAGTTATTTTCATCTAACTTGGATCCTAATCCATGAAAACCACAAAGTGCTAATTACACGCAGACAATATTTGGGTGCATGTATAGGAAAACTGAAGCATAAGTGGGTAAATTTTTTAAGCATGAAAAATTAATGACTAGTAGATAATTTCTAGCTTGGGCTTTAAAATGACGGCATGAAGCATAAAACCCCAAATAATTCTTTTTGTTTGTGTTTGTTTTTTTGTGTGTGTGTACGCATGCGTGTGTGTGTGCGCGCATGTGTGTATGTGTGCATGTGCATGTGTTGTGTGTGTCTGTGTGTGTGTGTATGTGTGTGTGTGAGAGAGAAAGAGAGAGGCATCACAAAAACCTTTCATTCTCCAGCTCTATTTGAACTTCGGCAAGTTTCCGTTCGCTCTGCTCAGAATCTCTCTCTGAAGAATCAAGGGCTGATTTTAGCCACTTCAACTCCTTCTCGGCATCTACTAATTCTAGTTTTGCGCTCTCCATGGCAATTGCAATGTGCCTGTTCTCCTGGGAAGCTTTCTCAGCTTGGGCCAGATAAGCTTTCATCTGCAAAAACCCAGTTTGACAATGAAAGAGCTGCCATGCAAAAATTATTTATAGACATTATTGCAAGGAAATCTCTCCTTCTCTCTCTAAAAGAATGAAAAAAAAACAAAAAGCAAAACAAAACAAATATTGTGAATGAGTTGTCAAACGACTTAAGTGATATAAACTTAAATTCAATGAGCAAGCTGACAATTGCATAAGACAATACACTAAACCATCTAGGAATCAGTTTACCGTGAGACCTAGACACGAGAGAGAGAGAGAGAGAGAGAGAGAGAGAGAGAGAACCTGTTCTTCATCACGAGCGATTTTCACTTTGGTATAATCTAGAGATGCATTGACTTGTTGTAATTGCTTGGCCACAGCTTGCTTTTCAGCAATCAAAGAGCCCTGAGCTTGCTTTGTCTTCACGCTCTCTGACACCAGCTGTAACCATAGGATTTGCAGTGAAACATGGGTTAGGAAGTAGCAAACCAAATGACTCCAAAACCCCCATACTCTGAGAAAAAGATACAGCAAAGATGACTATCAAACGTGACTGCTATTCTTTAAGAAACAGAAGCACGGAACTGGAAGTGCTCATACGTTAGAGCAATCAATTGAAATGCAAACAATTATTCTTTGAAAGGTCCAGACCGGACATATTTGGACATTACATAAAAAGTTACACTGAAATCCGTAGAGAGAAGAAACCAAAAAGATTGCACATGTAACCACCTTGATATTGAAATCATCTCTTTCAGTGACCTGTTGCAACAAGTGCTGGTTCTGTGTCTGCATGTCTTCATAGGCCTGTCCAATGGTCTGCAAACACAGAGACATGTAAGCAAAACTACTTGGAGCTCCAGGATAGATAATAAATTAGGAATCAGAATTCAGAAGTCCCCAGAACCTCAATCTCAGAGATATAGGCTGCCCCTTCGTCTTCTTTCAGTTTAATAGCTTCTTTGAGCTCCAAAAAATCTCTGCAAAAGATTAGGTAGTAATAAGAGATCCATTAAAAGGGTCTGTAGCAGGTTTCATGTTTAAGGAGAAGAAATGAAGACCCAAGAGAGAGAAGTATTAGAAGATGTGTCAATAGTTGCTTGCAGGAAAAACAATTTACATGGTAGCTTCTTTCCATCTTTTAAATATTACAGTAGCTTACCAGAAAGAGTCTTTCACTGGCATCCTAAAACTGGTAAGTTTAATACAAAGAAAACAAAACAATGGGCTTCTAAATCCATCAACTTCATCTGTGGAGTAATGGCATTACGAGCAGGCGCAGAAGTTCGACATAAATGAAATTCATCCTAAATTGAAAAAAGGAGACCTCAGCGGGAAGATGTGAAATTTATAAGATCATTTGTATGCAAATTTGAAGCATTGGAGACTATTAAGCAAATTTGATCAATTTTTGGTGAATGCAGATTGGGAGACCAAATTACCAGAAACAAATTCATATGTTTTGCCAAGCTTTTGTTACATAATAGGCCCATGGATACAGAAATAGTTATTGCTGGTTCAAGGCCATTCAGATTGAACACAAGTAAATGGAGGATAAATCTTTGCCTCAGTTGATAACAAGCTGGTGGAACAAGGATTGGTAATGACTTATTAAACCATGGCAGTTATGGATAAAACAGAAGCGGAGAGGACGTCAATTCCAGATGAATCCAAACAAAGGCAGGAGACCAGAGTCTCAATCCAAGAAGACTTGAGGTTAGACAAGGAGTTTTTGAACCAAAAAGCAAGGGTGAAGTGGGTGGAAGAAGGGCACAGAAACATGAGATTTTCCCATACGACTGCATATTATAGAAGCAGCAATCACATTAATCGTATCACAATATCAAGGAAAAGGTGCTCTGACTGGAGCACACAAAAGAAGCCAATGTAGATTTCCTTGGAAGTGTGTTTAGAAAGGCAGCAAGGCTGAAGTTAATAATGAATCCTCGATTGCACATGAATTTATCCACTTCAGATACCAAGAAAAAAAGCCCAGGATAATCTGAAGATCTAGTCCGGGTTGATAAGGGTGTACATGATGAAACAATGGAACAAATAGGGGGGCGCAATGGGTCGAATTGACCCTGACCTGGCAGGTTCCTGATCTGGACCTGTAAACAGACCGGATGTGTGTGTGTGTACATACATAGATACATACATATATATATTGCATGCAGTTTTTGTAGGGCTGCAGATTTGTGAAGTCCAGTAAAGCCACACCTAAAACCCAGCTGGAAAATGCAGTTCTGAGGCCTAGAAACCCAATGGCCTGCAAATCTATTTCTACCATTGACTATAGAATTTGAACTCCAAAATGATCCAGATCTAGCAGATTTGTGAACATTTGAAATGGACCGTCCAGATTTAGACCACTTCTAGGGATGCAAATTTAATCTTTTTTTAGATCCATGATTGCTGACTCGAAATGACCGATTTGAAAGTTTCCAATACCGCATATTCGAGTGCGTGTGTGTGAGTGGGTTTTCCTAAGGTTAATGTCAACAGAAAACCTATGTGCAATATTTAGCAAGGGATGTAAACTACCGATTTATGTTGGTTGCCTTGACTTTTCATAAAATTCATTTACAAGATAAAATTTTTCTCTCAACCACGCTCATTTTTTGCAAACATCTCTCTCTCTCTCTCTCTCTCTCTCTCTCTCTCTCTCTTTTGTGGAGGTTTAGACCAGTGTTTAAAAAGGCGGATCGGTGACCTGAATCGGTCACACTCATTTTAAAAATTGGCGAGTTGCAACGGACTCGCCCGACACGGGAATCGGTCACCGCGTGTCGATTCTTGTGTAAAACTGAGAATCGCCTGGTTCTATAAGAGAATCGGCAAATTTGAATAGTAAAACATTCATAAGACATCATAAATCGCGATTCTCGGTGAATTTGAATAGTAAGGCATTCATATGACGTCATAAATCGCGATTCTAAGCAGCTTATACGTCATAGGTCGGCGAGTCAGTGAAAAAGAATATTTTGGTAATTTAGTGTAAAAAGGTAGCACTGCACGTGTACCCCATCTCTTGATCACGCTGACAGTAACGCTATTGAAGAGGTACTTATAGTTCTTAAAGTTTGTTTGATTCTTTGATGTGGGATTTGAGCCGAGTGATATAACGTTGAAACGTTATTCAATATAAACAATTATTGTACAAAGGGTATTCAACACAGAGCGATGGGCTGCCGTGGTTATCAATTATATTTCTTCTTGGGACATCTCAAGTTCGAATCGAGCTTGGGAACGCTATTCTGCGATTTTATTTTTGTCTTAAAAAAAAAATAAAAAGAAGAAAATAATATCATAAAAAAAAAGACAAATAAAAAGAAAAAAATAATATCATCAAAAAAATAAAAGGAAAAAATATGTTTTAATTTTGTCTTCAAAAAAAATAAAAAGAAGAAAATAATGTCATAAAAAAAAAAAAAAAGGGTAAATACAACAAGCATTTCTTGCCAAAAAACAAAAAAGACAGTGCATCTTCTTTTTTTTTCTTGTAAAAAAAACGAAGTAATAAAACAAGTATTTCTTGTCAAAAAAATAAAATAAAAGGTACTAAGGCAGCATCATTTTCTTATTTTCTTGTAAAAAATAAAAAGTAATACAACAAGCAAAAAAAAAGGTAATACAACATTTTTTTCTTGTCAAAAAAAAAAAAGGTAATATAACAAGTATCATATTTTCTCATCAAAAAAAACAAAAAAGTTAATACAACAAGTATTTCTTGTCAAAAAAATAAAAGGTATTTCTTAATACAACAAGTATTTTTTAATAAAAACTAGGAATAACTGATGTAATTATAATTTTTATTTTTATAATATGGCAATTTTTAACCTAAATTTAGGAATATTAATTTTAAGATAAGGTTCATACAATGAGACCATTTGAAATATCTCTCTGTCTCTACTAACAATCTATTCCACTAAATTTATTCTAGAAATCTAAAAAATTAAAATTTTGAAAAACTAAAGTGTTATTTCGAAAATTGATACGCATTCTAATAATTTCTACATTGATAACAAAATATTTTAGGTTTTTATTAATTTATTTGCATTATAAATCATGTAATATACTATTTTTCTTACAGTTGTCAATAATACGTTTTAAATTAAATGATATTATAAGATATTTTGAATTTGTTATTATTTATATAATAAAATAATTATAAAATGTAAACCAAAAAAATTTCAATTTCAGTATATAATATTGTAGTTAGTGAGGTTGCAATAATTTTGGATTATAGTTGGTTAGGTTGTAATAATTTGGGTTTTTTGTTTAGCAGATTAAGGTTTTCCGCCAATTCGATATTTTAGTGGCCATTTTTTCATCGATTTAATCCATTATTTATTGTAGTCTACGTATGATTATATACTTTATCCATGATAATTCTATGTTTTTTTTTATGTGATGCAAATTTAATGGTTAACATAAGTTCATACAGGGAAATAACATCTCAATATTGGCAAATTGATAAAAAAATGAAAGTTAATAATGTAATACCCGTATTTCTTATTGGATTCATAAAAAACAACATTTATAATGAATTTTAATAATTCTGTTGGATTTTTTTTAAGGATTATTCGGACTGATTCGGCCGATTCCCGATCTGTATCGCCAATTCACCGATCCGGATGGTGCCTGATCCGGGGCACCGATCCGTTTTTTAAACCACTGGTCACACCCATACCCGTGTCGGATCGGTGGATCAGATCGGAGAATCGGCCGAATCGGCAATTTTTTCCCAAAGTTTTTCAAAAAATCACTATAAATCTCTAAAAAAAATTTTCTTTTAGTCTCTAAAAGAAATTAGGAGTGGTACATTACATACTTTCATTATTTTGTAAAAATACGTGAATACGGAGACATTGTTTTCCTGTTTGAATGTCTGTATAATTATTAATTGTATATACATTATTAATTGTATATATTATTATAATATTACATCAAAATAATTTAAAAATATTAGAGAACACTTCCATATTATAAGATTAAAAAATTAATTTCCTATATAAAGTGAAATTAGTATCACATCAAAGTATCAAATATTTATTAATTTGCTTTACTAATCATAAAATATCACAACCTAACTAACTATAATATTATATATCGATATTGAAATTGTTGGTTTATATTTTACCATTATTTTGCTATACAAATAAGAACAAATCTAAAATGTCTTATAATATCATCTAATTTAAAAGATCCTATTAACTATACAAAAAAATAATACATTACATAATTTATAATGTAAATAAATTAATAAATAAAGGGTACGGTTTGTAGAGAGCCGAGGATCTAAACAATCAAAGTAGAGCGCACCTTCAAATAGTGTTAGTTTCAATACTAGAAATATTTGCGATAGCCTTAAAATATATTTTTATATCTAATTATAAAATTTAAAACTTTAAAAATAGTGCAGATTGAGCAGATCTATGAAAACTTGAAAACTGACGGTCCAAAAATGCATTAAAAGATGCACGATTTCCAAAACTTGAAATCCATTTTTTTCTCATGTCCATGTATCTTGATGTCGTGATGATCAATTTGAGGATATTTGGACATCAAAAACCACCTCTTCCAGTGAAATTTTTAAGGTGCGCTCTAATTTGATTGTTTAGAGCCTCAGCTCTATATAAACTTTTTCCATAAATAAAATACAAGATTTCGTCATCAATGTATAATTATTACTTATAATATTATAATAAGCATAATTAAAACATTATTAAAAAACACTTCCATGTCATATTGACTAAAAATAAAAATAAAACTCCTTACAATGTTACGACATTAAAAAGAACTGTACAAAAAAAGATTCTCCCTAAAAAATAGAAAATAATGATATCAAAATTCAGAAAAAAAAAATTTTGTACCACATATCATAAGTGTCTATAGTTTATTTTGCAATATGTACTTTCATTCTAATGAGTTAGTATTTTTCTAACACTTGGATCTCACCTTCTAAAAATTGGATAGATTCTATTCAATCTTGAGACATTACTTCTTTCAAATGCATGGATGGTGCAATTAGGGGATTTTTTTATTGATTTGTAATCTATAATATGAATAGGTTTTTTCCCAAAATTTGAAATTCTAGAATTAACTCTAGGTAGGGTTTACTTGCGGGAGTAAATATACACCATACTCCTAAAGGAAAAGCGAAAAGAGAAAACGCGTTAATTTTTTATCTTTGGCTTTAAATCTAATAATTAATGCCTCCTCTCTCCCTTCCCCCCCCCCACCGTTTGTTTCTTATTTCTCTCGCATTTCCCATCTCCCTTCCTTTCTCTCTCTTATAGATTTCATTTTAGTATGGATACCCATCTCCCTCACCTCTCTCTCTTATATCCTTCACATTAGTTCCACATCAAACTTTTTCAAATGGCCACGGGGCTTAGTGCCTATAAACGAATGTATGAGGTGAGAAGGTATAATTGTGTGCTTTCCAAGCGCACGTGATGGGCTACCTTCAAAAAAGGTGTCTGTAAGGGTAGTCAAGTACAAAGTTTGTATTACAAGTACCCTTCCAAAAAAAATTCAAAAATATTTACTATTTACTACAGCGAATCGGTGACATGTCCGGTTTTTTCATGAGACCTCGCCATGTCATGATGTCGCACACCGAGTTTGTACATGAAAAAAGGTGAATCCCGTTTTATGGCCGGATCTGGAATGGCCCAGCTGATTCTCAGTCCGGATCGCCCGATTCCAAATCGGGGCACCAAATTTTTAAACACTAATTTAGACAAAGGCAGGCAATTTAGAAAGAGAGCAACTTGGAGATTCGAAGGTGGGTTTTGCAATTTATGTCTTAAGGCTCATGCTGGATGATAGATGGCCTGGTTCTGGTTTCTATGCTGAAAGTCCCTGTAAATTGTGTGAATTTGGGAAATTAGTGTGATCCTTAATGGTCAATTAGTGTGATGACACAATAATTTCATGAGCTACAAATGAGGGCCCACCATTGCACATCTGCAACAAGAGGATAACGCATTAATTTAATGTGATATAACTGAATAGGAGATCGAGAACTAACAGTTATTTTTAATAGGTTTTGAGGTGGCTTTAGATATTACAGTCAATATGGAAAAAGACAAAGTTGATGGGTGCGGGTGCGCATATTTCACAACAGGAATTACAAAATCTTGCTAGAAGCATTGGATAAGGAGTTGAGAGGATGCCAAACACAGATCTAGGATAACCCTAGTGTGCTGACAAGCCACGGAAACAGTTATGAGACAAGTATTTCGAGTTTCAAGTTTCAACAGAAAGCCTGCAACCTGGAAAACAAGATTCCGCTAGAATGGTGGTAGACCGACGCTCATCAAGGCAACATTATCTAAATTACCAATTTATTTCAAGTCTCTCATTTCTATCTCATCTTCTGTTGCAAGCAGAACAGAGAAATCGATGAGCGATTTCGTGTGGGACTGGGCATCAAAAAAGAAGAAAATTCACTTGGTCAGATGGGATAAAGTTTGTACATCAAAATGCAGTGGGGCTCTAGTTATTAGAAAGATTCGAGGGACAAATCAATCTCCGGTCTAGATGGTGGTAGAGACTAGATATGAAGGTTCAACATCTGTGGAAGCAAGTAAATACTAGCACATATGGAAAAGATGAAACAGGGTCGTTAATGAGGAACTATTGCACTAACAAGAAACTCTAAGGGACACGGGATGGAGTTAACAATTGCAGAATCAGTTTGTTAGCCATATCAGATTGAAGGTAGAAGACAGGAAAAGAACCAGATTTTGGCTTTAGACAAATGGGGGGGGTGGATAACACACTTGGAGAGAAATATCCAGAGTTGTTCGTTATAGCTTGCAACCAGACAGTGGGGAAAAGCGGATAGTTGGCAAAGATTATTAGACAATATGGACCTGAAACTACAGAGAAATTTGAAAGCAAGTAACATCCAGGCATTGGCGAATATATTACAAACATTAGAATGGTCATCATCCAGCCAAGAGAAGAAGATGAGCTTTTGTGGGATTGAGACATTGAAAGGCTTATTTCGGTGAAATCAACAAATAAAACTTCCACAAGAATGGGTCATTGGCCTGGGTGAGGAGGGTGGCGGAGCCACAACATGACGTCAAGGGTTCCTTACATGTCCTGTTAACATGCCAAGAGAGAAAACAAAATATTGACCTGAGATGGAACAACTCATCAGGACTGGAACACTATGGCCATTAGTGAACCACCTTTTCATTTGGTTAGTGACACCAGAAAAGGAAATCACCATCTACTGCATGCCAATGGAGGCATTTTTATTATCCCAAACATGTGTAATGTGTAAAATGGATGCTGAAAATGTCAAACCATTTCTTCTTTCATTGTCCTATAGCTGCTCAGTAATGATCATATGCATGAAAGTTATTTGATTTCACATGGGTTCTTCCTGTTTTTATACCGGCTCTACTAGCCCAGTGGTCAAATCCTGCAGTCCCAAGATTTTGCAAGATATCATGGAGGATCACCATGTCGGCTTTAATGTTGGTGACTTGGAAGGAAAGAAATTATTGATGCTTCAAGAACAGGAAACAAGTGGAAAACTGCAGTAAAACAGGAGAACCAGAGTCATGACTTGAGACAAGAAAAGGAAGAGAGTTCTGGGTTATTTGGTTGCTGATTTTCACCTCCAGTGGAAAGAGAAGGTGAGATCGAAGGTTCCAAGAAAGACAATGATCCAAAGTGGATAGCAACAATGCAGAGTGGGTTAAACTGAAGTCCATGGAATTCATGAGGGAACCCAGGATCACATGGGTAGGAGGAACTGTGAAGAGCTCTCAAAGGAAAGTGCTTATGACTTATTCTGACCCAATAAATGATTCTGATTTAGATGAAGCAGAGGTTTGGGCTATATTGCACGGAGTTGGACATGTAAGCAGGAAACGAGAAATGATATTATAGAAGGGGACTCTGTCATTTGGTGGAGTGGTGGTAAGGACAACCCTAGAGACTTAACAATGTTTTTTTTGGGTAATTAGAGACTCGACAATGTGTTACAAGAAATCTGGTAATGGACAAGACATTCACAGGTTACATATAATCACCTACAAAGTAAGCTTAACAAGGGAGTAGAAGCATTGGCATTTGAAGAGGTCACTAAGAAGACATGGCAGTAACTTGGTTCAATGAGGGGTAAAACTTAGAGTTAGATCATTGAGGAGTAACTCTGATGTATACAGACTCAAGTTTTGCAAATGACAAGAGATTTTCAAGAGAATGTATATAGACACAAGTTTTGTAAATGACAGTTAAATACTAGCAAATCAGTTTTGGGAAATAATGACATTCAGTTAACAACAAAAAGAATAATATGTTATCAAGCATGATTGCAAGTACTTATCCTAAATTCTCATTATATGATTTGCTGAAGGAAGACAACTACAAGTTACAATTTCAATTGACAAAAATATTTAAAATTCTAAACCCACAGGGAATAAAGGTTACATCTTTTTAATTATTTGAGGGCAATACTTAGTCATCCTATCTCACAAAAAAAATTAATGTAAGCTCCTATGCTGCTAATCAAGCATTAAGCAGAAAAGAACAGAGATCTTACCGCTCAGAAGCATCCAATTTTGCTCTCAGATCAGCTATTTCAGCTTCAGCAGCAGAAAGTCTTTGTTGGCATGCCGCTTCAACCTCATTAGCTGCTTTCACACGCAATTCAAGACCATGTTCATCCAAAACAGATTTCAGAAGATCAGCCTGCAACTGAGTTCTTCTTTCTGATTCCTTAATTTCCAAGATATCCCTGTTAAAAAGTTCAAATATCATTGCAAAATACAGAATAAAACTCCCTTGGGAGGCATAAGGGTTTAAAAAACCTATCTCTCTCTCCTAATTCCAAGATTCGCTAACTGATAAGCTCTATGGTTAGCATCTCCAAGGGCATGTATCCATAATTCAAATATAACATCAGTGAATGTGAAATTTCAGAGGAGATTTTAACAAAGTTCTAATAGAAAAGACAAACATCTAATTTAAGACTAAAGGAGCAAAGATTGGCGTATGTATGAATCGACTTACAAAACTAGTGCAGGTACACACACACATATAAGAGAGCAATGAAATACAAACATGATTGGCCAACAGTTGTGGATAGGTTTGCCAAAGAAGGAGCTACCTTGTACTCACAACCGGCAAACATCACACTGTCACATCCCAGAAGGTCTACCCTCTTCTTCCCTCTCATCCCTCCCATCTTTCCTCTTTATCTGTCTCTTCTACTTCTCGTCCTCTTTGGAACAGCCCACACCTTGTAGGCTGACTGCGCTTTTAGTTTTTTTCTTGTTGTTACTGCACCCCTTCTTTTGTATTAGAGCACCAAATCTTGTTTTGGTAGCCAAATAGGGGGACTTTTATACTACTCTAAAAATACTTAATACAACAGTTAACACTTCCCTCAAAAAAAAGAAAAAAAAGTATGAACATGATTCACTAGTAAGAATAGGCTCATTGATCACCATAGGCACAGAAACCCATATTAACTTTCTTTTTTTATGTTTACCACCTCAATTTTCATGTTCTCGAAATTCAAATTACCTAAGGAACATTCTTTTTTTTTTTTTTTCTTTCCAGTATGAATACTTGAGGAGCACTTAAAATCCTAATTGAAGTACCATTATAAATCATTGTCAGAATTCTGGCAACAACATTAGAATCACATTTATCACAGCAGAAGTTCTTTTGAAGTAATAATATCCCATAATGCACAATAACAAGAAAACATTGTTTCCCAATAAGAAATTCAATACAAAATACTAGCCGGTTAAATGCATTAAAAAGAAGTCTAAAGTATCTCAACCAATTTACCCAGCTTGAGAAAAAAGAAAAGACAGTACTAGGGCATAACAAGCAGAAATATTAATACCTTGGATTAAAACAAGAACTTCTTTTACTTAAGTTAATCCCATGCCATAAAGGAAAAAAATAGTGACTGACATTCAAATTCATTCAATATGATGTGCTAAATAACTCAGAAATCCTAAATCTAGAAACCAAAAATATAAGAGCCAAATAAATTAATATATGCTCATTTTCTTTCTTGTTTACAATTCACGCCAGCCCAGGATATTAAGAAAATATTTGAAGAAATTTTATGGTCCTACCTGCTATCATAACACTCTTGCCCATACATGTCCAGGAAGATTTGTAACTCCTGTTTTTCCGTCTGCAGCTTCTCGATCTGCAAAACACATTTTTAAGATGCAAAGAACTTGAGGGTCTTACATGAAACAGAATGAAAAGAGAGTGAGACTACATCCAACATACTATTGTAGGTGCAAAGTCCACTAGAATTGCCCTCAAAGTGTTACCAAATCCACCTCACTATGGCTGAAAAGGCTGAAGTGTTTAGCTTCAGCCTCTAAGCCGAGTTGAGGAACTACAACAACTGAAGCATTGAAAAAAAGGGACAATCCCATTATTATCAAATTATTGCTGATTTTTTTTTAGGACATAATATGGAATTGGAAATGAATAAAAAAGAAACTCCAGTGTATTCTTAAATTTTGAAATAATTTTGGGAAAGTTTGGATTTTGAAATTAAATAAGTACCTACTATAAAGCTTTCAATGCACATGTAGGTTAATTAAAAATAGACTACTACTACAAAAGCAAGTCATGCATGAGTAATGAAGATAAAGGAAATCCAAGTTTGACATCCATTGATAACTTACCTAAAGAGACAGCATATATAGCATAGCAGTTTCAATGCACAATCAATCTCCATACAAGTAATATTTTAATGTTATTTTCTCATATTCAATAAATGGAAGCTCCATAAAAATATCGAGCATATTCTTTGGCTTCTAGGGCCCTTTTTGGCCAAAAGGCGCAAAACCTATTTTTTATTTTTTTTGGGATATTTCAAATTTCTAAGAGGACACCCAAACAATTCCCCAAATCAACCAATAACAGAAGCACTTCTCTTCCCTCATCCAAATAAAAAAGGGCTCTGATGCAATGAAACAGTGGACAATGATGGAACACAAATGGGACCCACTAGAGTGGGTGAACCCAATTGCGGGTCCCATTCCCTCTCTATCAGTCTCCATCATTGTAAGGGATGCCGATTACCTGATACAGTATAAATTTCCAAGTTCATTGGATTCTACTGAACTTTTCCCATTCCACTTAGGAGATAATGTTATACCAAACTGAGATAAAACAACCAGACCATATCATACCTCTGCTTTAAGCAATTTGATCTCTATCTCATTTTGTGCACATCTATCAGCTAAGATCTTGTGTTCACTTATCTGTTAACATAAAAGGATGACAACTTCAGAACACCAGGTAAAGCAGTAGAGAATCAATATAACCCATGTTTTTTTCTTGTTTTGATTCATTTATCAATCAATCTGTATATGTATGCATGTATGTAGGAATGCACATGTGTACTATTAATAAAAGAAACATCTTCTGGGAATGGAAATCTTGTTTCCAGCACTAAACGACAACAACAATGAAATTAAGGGTAGAAACCTTTTCATTCAATAAGGTGGTAAGAGATTCAACTTCTTCACTTAGAGAGAGAACTTCACAAGCTATTGCTTTGCTCCGATTCAGCTGTGCTTCCATCATTCCTGTTTCCTTAGACAAGGCTGATACCATAACACGGAACTCTGCTTTAATATCGTTCCTACCTGCAGCAGCTGATATCATTAAGAAAGTCCGGGAACTTCGTTAACAAAATAGTCTAGCATAAGGAGAAACTTCGCTCCAGACGGTTTTCTTTTTAACTCAAAAAAAGGAAGTGCTTCGGCCGATATGGGGGAAGTCTTCGGGTATCTTAAAACAATAAAAATTTTCAAATAGTGTAAAATCAATATTAAAAGCAACTAAAAAAATTTAAAACACACCATCTCTTTAATAATAGTGTAGGAAAAATTGAACTGGAACGGTTAAACAGACATGGGCCCGAAAGCGGTTCGACTGTTCTAACCGGGCAAGTCCCAAACAGTAAAATAAGTGTTAAAAAATACAAAAAACAAATCTAATAAAATATAAAAAGTATATTTAAAGAATGATTAAACCAAGCACATCCAAATGAAGTTGAAAATTAATGAAGAAAATGGATTTTAAAGAGTCGATTTGTAACCAGAAGTATTTTTGAAATTTTCCAAAAAGATATAATGGCTAAAACAATTTCCAATCATTGCCATGATGATGAAAATATTAAAAAATATATTACAATTAAAATCCCTTATTTTTCAGGATTTGTTTTTAGAATGTTAACTATCATATATAGGAGTAAAAAGTCATGGAGTACAATGACCTCGAAAAGAGAGAGAAGGGGGGAGAGTGGTTATCCGCACATGGATAGCTCAGAGTACAGAGAGCCCTTCTAAAAAAAGAGGGGAGGAAAGACTAGAATCCAAAAGCTTATTTTGGGGGATTTTATATTATTTTATTTTATTTTTTTTAAAATACCCGGCCGGTTACCAAAACTGGCCGAAACCAAAACCGGCCAGTGGCCAGTTCTGTTCCAACCAAGTAATTACCAGTTGAACCGCCCGATTGTTTGTTCAATGTTTAATTAGATTCATTTTATAAGTTTATTTTTTAAAAAATTTATTTACATGTAGAAAAAATTACTCTTGAGTAATATGATTTCATTCATTTAAAGAGAAACAGTAATGCTTTATCCCACTTAGGTATGGTTTCTCTTTCTAAAAATGCCTTACAACACTAAGGTATTTTACTTTCAAAGAATGGAGAACTACCACAAACATGGCTATATTATTATTTTAAAAATTTAAAGTAATTAATAGACTTTTTGATATTTTGGCTGCTTTGTTCGTATGAACACATGGCAGTCATACAGAAACTCTTTTTGGTACAAACTTTTAAGGGAAAAGAAACATTCAATATGTGGTGCAGTACTACATAAACACTATGTCTTTCCTCGTGTCAGGTGTCGACAAGTAGACACATGCCAACATGCCTAGACACAGGTCCGACATGCTGGTCCTAGTGTCTGAAATTTTTTTGTACAGACACTGTGAGTTGACATGCGTTTGGGACATGCCTACTGCAAACAATCGCGGTGTCCCTAATTGGTTTATACGAAGTAGTTCATAGGGCCGTATGAAGTAGTTCATAGGGCCACAACCATTTGAGGTAAAGCCAAAAGTGTTAACCACAGTGCTATTAATTTGAACTAGTCTTTATTGTTGAATATATATTACTTGTAGAAAGTAAAGTCCAAAGCCATCAATGCGGGTGCATTACTGCATATTGATCATACACTAACAAAGTCAAAATGAAAAAAGTTTACAATGTAACTAAAAAGAAAGGTCCTTTTATACATGCCCATGCATATGCTCCTTAATATATTTAAAACATTATTAGCTAACAATGGATGGAAATAGTGAGAAAAGATATGGTGTCTTATGGTCTTACTGAGGGTATGACCGTTGATAGAGCAGACTGGTGGAACGGGATTCGTGTAGCCAACCTCAAATAATTGGGACAAGGCTCAGAGGATGATGATAATGATTAACTAACAATAGAATATATTAACATGTCTATGGACATATATTTGTTATTAATTTACAATAGCATTAATATGGCCTCATATGAACTTAAAATATTAACATCTCTTACAAATATATTGTTTTATTTTCCAAAATTTATTTATTTATTTTTGCTAAGTAAAAGTATTTACTTTGTGGGGTTTGAACGCACATCTAATTTCTAAAATGTACATGTGGTTTAGGATCTAAATTGTAAGCTGCCTCCTTTGTAGGTTTGAACTTGCAAGCTTTTGAGAATTCTAGTTTAAAATTATTGGTTTTACCAATACAACCATCATACAAAATATTCTCACACAAAGGATTTAAAAAGCATCATGCTAAAATATAGAATAATAGAAACAAATGAATTTTTTATTTTTTTGCATAAAATAATTTTTTATCTTATTAAATTGTATCTTTCATTTACCTTTTTATTATTCTTTTAGGGTTTATCTATATACTAAATTTGTATACACATGATCGTACGGATGCTTCAGCCACAATACTGCAATTTTGAGCTAACCTACTAAACACTCAACTAAATATGACACCCATGTCAGTGCTCATGTAACACTACAGTTTATAGGTTATTCACCTTTTCTTGCTACAGCTTTAAAGGTAACTGAAATATTCATGTTATTCGCATCGCTTCAGTGATGCCGTAGACTTCGCGCAATTTGTCCAAAGCAAAACAAACTCAATAACATTGCACACACACACACACACACATGCACACACAAATTTTAAAATAATAATAATAATCTTGTTACCAGCATCCTGCTCAGTTTCTTCTAACATCATCTCGAGATCATTTTTTTCAGTGATGCACTTCCGCAGCTGAAGCTCTAGCTCTTCCACCCTGGCCTCGGCATTGCTCATAGAACTTTTGGCAGCATCCGCATTCTCAAAGTTCGTATTCATCTCCTTTTCCCTTCGCAGCAAATTATTCCTGTCAGCCTGAACTTAAAGTTTTAACAAAGACAATGCAACTAAGAGAAACAAAATAAATAAACAAGTGCAAAGCCTAAAAAAATCCAGCCTTCTTTTTTTCTTATTATTATTTTTGTGTGTGTTGGGGAGGGGGAGGGGTTGGGCGGTTAAGTACCTGTAAGGTGTCTACTGTTCCCTTGTAGCGTTCCAACTCAACTTTCAAACGTTGGATCCGATCACTTAAAATGATGTATGGTCTAGAGGAGACGACATATTTATCATCCTTCATATCATTCTATTAGAGTAGAGAGGTAACCCAATATCACAAGTTGTTTTCAGAAGCCAAAAAAAAGCAGAGATCGAATTTGTTAAATATTCCTCAAAAAAAAGACTTAAGAATATCAATACTGTAGCAAATTCATGACAAAATTATAACCTGAAGAGTTCGCAGCTTCTTTGACAAACTCAGGTTCTCTTCATGTGCATCCTGAAGCTCTGAGAGGCGGCTTGTCGCTAGTGTCTGTGCAATAAGATTGAATAATTCAACACTACTTACATAAAGTAAAAAGAGTTTTAGGAAAATAAAGAATGAAACACACACTAGTCGCACTGTTGCTCCAGAAACTTGAACTTCAGAATGCACTTTCCTTAATGAAATAGTCGATTTGTATTATATTGATAGTTTATGTGGATAGTTAAATTTTTACATTGTTTAGATGTAGGGCAACCCACATATATTTGACCTTCTCTTCTTGATGGCTATTTATCCCAGTCCATTCACCAAAGTTTACTAAGCCACCCTCCCATGTCTGGCATATTAAATACCACTATGGTGAAATGGCAATTTAGAAACATGCTCTGGAGCACCTGCACAGTTATGAAGGTGTTCAAAACACTTTTTTTCCATTTCCCAATGGTTTTCAGAAGCTTGCAGCAACTACCCATAGGATGTGCCCATCAGAGAAAAGATACACTTGCATTACATCAGCTTGTATATTTCTAGAGGATCTCTGCTTAATAGTTACCTTTGCCTCCTCTAGTGCATCTTTGAGCTCCCGAAGACTCTTGTTTTTCTCTGGACACTTTTCTAGTGAAATGCTCCTCTTTATGACATTCAAAACAGGAGTAAGAGTACCAGCAGCCACATTCTTTTGCATCTTTAAATTCACTAACTTGCGTCTACTTTCCTCAAGTTCAGTCATGATTTCCTCCAATTCACCTAGATAACACATAGAACAGTAAACTTATAAATAAATAAAGGGGAATTTATTCACACCTAAGAGTTGAACTATTTAACATCCCACTTGGTTCTTTTGATCTAATTTAAAATGGCCCAGCATTCTTTTGATCAAATTTCAAACGATCCATCAAGGCACATCATCATGGGCTCTAAATTGTGGGAAAACGTTGGATTGTTGAAATGTTAATGGTTGATCTCTGATTAGATAAATTTCCCATAAGTGAACCTTGCTACATACGCCAAGGGAACCTACAAGAATAAAGAAGTGCGGGGTAATCCAATGGAATATGGATGATCCAGTGGGATCACTAATTGAATGAATAGAGGGTGTGGGACACAATAATACAGGAAATTTCCCTGAATGGTGGGTCCCACTCTCTCCATCCCTATCTGTTGTTTCATTTGAAGGCAACGATCTCAATGGATTATTGTTTTCCAAATACCAATAAATCATGGTACACTTTCCCTATAGAACTCAACAATTGCCCAATGACCAATATAGGGATCACTCACCAGTCAAACGCTTTATCTCAGTCTGATCCTTGGTGTGACTATTGAGATAATTTTGCATTTCAATCGCATATGCCTTGTGCTTCAAGTGAAGAACATCAATGGCTCTACACATATTCTTGACCTCCTCTTTCAGTGCATTATCGATCTTATGCAGTTCGATGAAAGCATCTGAAATAAACTTCACAATTAATATGAAAATTTCAACATCTTTTTCTCCCTTGCATTTACTATACCACACAGTAATACCAAGAAAATAGCATGACGTAACATAATAAAGAAGAGCATGCTCCCAATCAGCATAATATGGAAAATACCCTGACAATACCTGGAAGATAATGCACGGCAATAACATAAAATATCGAAACAGTACTTGGAACTGTCAATTTTTAAAATGACTATTTTTAGCCCCCCCCCCAACCCATCATTGCACATTTTTCGCCCTCACCAGATAAGGGGTAAGATAGTAATTTTTAACAAGTGACAGGTTCAGATTCAAGTTTTTGGAACCATCTGCATGATCCATGCCAGGATTCCAGGCCCTGTTCTGATCATTTCCCAAATAAATAGGATGCACAGTAAAGGGTAGCGAAACTGAAGTCATCACCTTCTGAAGAAAGATTTCCAAGTGAAGCTGGACATAAGGCCTCACTTTTGGCCCTTTGAGCAGCGATGGTCTCTTCCAAACGTACCATCAAGGCCAATGTGGATGATTGCCTAGACACTAGTGCTTGTTGCACGTGATCCATGGTCCCATTTGCTGCACCATTTTCAGTAGCACCAGCTTCCAAAAGCCTCCACAGAAATGTCTCTTCCGAGGGGCACGATGAAACTGCTCCAATAGAAAAGCAGAAATATACATTTCATTTGAATTGGCAGTTGAGGACAGAAATTTTAAGAATTCAATGAGAATAAACGACAAAACTATAGAAGTTCGCAGAAGCAACCTGTTGACTGCTCTAAGTGATCCAAATAATGAAACCAATTTTCATTGATGCTACCAGCACGGATGCCTAGAAGGACCAAATCATCTTCCAACTGAATGCAGCATTGACAGAACCCAATTAAAGGAGCTCAGATGTTATAGACCTTATAATCTAGAATAATTAAAAGACAAAAAAAAGAAAAATCTAAAAGCCAACAAGTTAAAAAAAACCAACAAACAAATAAATAAGTGAGTACGAGAGACCAACCTGGTTCCAAAGCCTGTTTACTGCAATCAGAGTCTCATCATATGAGATCTGTTTATCTTTTAATTCATTAAACTTCCCTTGCAGAGCATGCAATTCATTTTTCTGAGTATCCAATTGCTGGAATAGCTTTTGATTCTCATATTGAAGAACGGCAGCATCAACCTACAAAATAAATGGGCATGCATTTCAAGTTTCAAACAACATTTGCAGCCAAGGTATTGTGATCTGAGCAATAAAGAAAAAAAAGAGTCATTTATCAATCATCCCATTTATGAAGTAAGACGAAAATAGTGCTTTTATTCCTAGAATCAATATCGACGAAAGGAGTTGCCACAGATCTGCTGGTATCAATACAAGAGGATACCAAAACTGACTATTAGGCTAGTTCTACATATAAAATGACAAATATACACATAAATATTCCATATGGTAATAACAGATCCCAGTTGTCCGATTTTACATCCGACCGCTGGGGGTGTTTGTGACTTTCGCATACAAAGGTAACTGTCTCCATGTATATAATCCATAATATAATAAAGATAAACAATATATCTCTGAAAAATATATATACATTATATTCTATGTAGTATATAGGATGCTAGGATAAGTCATATTAGGAACCATAGAACCACCAGACAATAACAAGTTCCCAGGTTGATCTTGAAGCCAATGAAGGCAACGCATTTTGCACTCAATCAATAGCAAAGCCAACTTGAAGTTGGAAACCATGGACAGCCCAGTTCAATTCATTGATGCGCCTCTTCACCAAATTTTGCATTTCATCTGCCTTCATCCAATGAACTTGGTAAAGGAGGCATTGCTTGGTTCATAATTTTGATTCATGCCAAGGTGAATAGAGAAACAGATTGGTTGAGGACTCCATATGTGAATCCACTCAAAAAGGCCTTGTCCGTTGTTGCATGTGGATTGGGCATTTAAATGGAAAATCCAAGGACAAAATTAAAATTTCAAAAAATCAAACATTCAAATTCAAAAGAACCAGTTACATTATTCAAGTAGCTCCCAACAATAGAAATTCGGGCTACTACAATAAAAAGGATTATATCAAGGATCAAATATCCTTGGAGGTGTGATGTTCGTCAATGTTGACGATGATTTACACAATTTGACAAAAAGGATATAGATATGTTGTGTCAACAAAAACAAAATAGAAAGGGATTATGCCTGAGCTATTCTTTCCTTCTATAGATTATAGAAAAGTGAAAACTCTTAAACATTTTTCCTGCACTAAAAGTGCTAAAAAGTCCTCCTTCCTCATAAGTCCAAAAATGTAGCCACAGACCAGGTATATGCACCTGCTATGCATTGCTATTCACAATTTCAGGACACAGTAGCCCATTCATCAGACAAATCACAAATATCGGTTATATATTTCACGGGTGTAAGGTCAGAAAGAATAGAATATGACCAGGAGATCAGGAGTATATTTATTGAAGCTCCTTATTTCACCAACGGCCAATATTCCAATTTCCTAATATCCAACGGAACAAAACAATTTGCAAAAGAAAACGAATAGAAGGAAATAGAAAACAAAAAAATTTACAGTGTTTTAATTCATAAACAAACATATTTCACAGCATAACCAGATAGAGATCGTACATAAATTTTACAGAACGTGACATAGCTATGATCATTTAAACCCAATTAGGACCATGGTGATTATTTCTGAAAAGTAACAACAGAGAAGTCTTCGATTGCCTGAATTCTACTCAAAAAGACAAACTTGGGGAAAAAATAATTGCTAATTCTAACCCGTAAAGTTATGCAGAAGAACTGAACACAAACAGCACTGAAAAAAGGCGGTCATGAATGCATAACTTGTTGGAGTTCCAATTGTTAATATGATTATAAAATTTATGATGGCCATTTTGTATCATAGGATTGTGACGAGCACTAAGACATTAAAAAAATTGACGAATTTTTAGAGGTGAGTATCCTAAATTTTGAAATTATATATGGAAAAATTTTATATAAGGTTGCAACGTTAAAATGTAGAATTACAGATGCGTCTCCAAAATCCATCGGAAAATATTGTTTTAATGTTGAAAGACCCTTTAATTAATATCTCGACATTGAGATTAATGAATATGAAAAAAAAAAAAAAAATATTTTAAGTTTCAGAAATAGTGCATATTGCACCACATTATCTAGACCTTCCATTTTCAAATTTTCATATGTTTATAGATCCACTTGATTTTAGCCATTTTTGGAGTTTAAAATTTTATCATTAGATAAGAAAATAGATATTCAGATAATTCTAAGAATTTTTTACACCAAAATTATATGTTATGATAAAATTTGGAGGTGCACCTTAACTGGATTGTTTAAGTTGCAACGTTATAGAAACCATACCCATTGTATATTTATTTCCATTTTAACAATGAGAGAGAATGACATATAGATACATAGAGATAAAAAATAACGAACCCAAGAAAACTGAATTTTGAACAAACCATACCGACATTATTTTATGTAATACATTATTTTATACAAAGTTAACCATTTCCTCAAAATTTCAGAGCCCTAACAATCAAATTCTATTTTTCACTTTAAACTAATCAGTTCAATTCAACAATTCAAAAACAACAAGTAGGAAAAAGAAAACAAATAATTCATCCCAAAGAAGAGCTCGAAAACTTGGTAACTCACAATCCCTAAAACTGTGTATGAACAAAGACACAAATGGCAATACACAAAGCATGAAGAGTCAACCAAAAATACGTTCTCACATCCCTCGCCTTAGTAACTAGAAAAGCATAACTCTCTCTCTCTCTCTCTCTCTCTCTACAAAACTATATTTAGGGGTAGACACTCTCTACCCCCAACTACAAAAAGTGATGTTATTTTTTTTATAGAAATTACCCCTTCCCGTAACT